AAACGAGAGAGAGAGAGAGAGGGAGAGGGGAGAGAGAGAGAAAGGAGCAAAAGTCACGGTTCTGGCACGTTGATAGCGAGCCTCCATGTTACCATGTTACCACCTTTGTTAATCAGCAATTCTTGGTCTCAGAAGTACCATGTTACCACCTTTGTTGTTCCGAGATATTTTCGTTTTCTTAAGCTTCATACTGAGAAATTCTTTCTCATTTTCAGGAATATGTATACAATAGGCTACAGTTCAGGTGAAATTCTGTTCACGGTGTGTCTAACTTTCGTGATGGTTGAATTTATATAGTTTAAACTCATCAATGCTTAAAATTTTGCAATTGCAGTTGCGGGTGGTACTTCACCTTTGTGCAAGGGTTGTGCATTGGTGGGTTTATATTCTGCTCATTTACCTTAAAGGATTTACCACCAAGCAAATGGTGAATCCATGGAAGACTTATATTCAAATCCACCAAGGTAGAAAATGTGTTTCGTTTTCTAACGGGCTCACGAAGGGCTCTCTGGCTTTTCTCAATTATCCAGCACAGCTCATGTTCAAATCCACCAAGGTAGAAAATGTGTTTCGTTTTCTTGCTCATCATGTTCAATTTTTATGTAGTTGCATATGTTTATTTCCTGCTCATCATATTAGGATTATCATTATTATTAGTTTATATTTCACTACAAAATTATCCTTTAGGTTAGATTATTGAGTTAACATCATAGGTTTTAAGTAATAATGCAGTAACAAATTTGATTTTGGGCTATACTAATGATGGTGCATTGCATTTTCTTCCCCCTTTTTTTTTTCCTTATCTCGTTAGTTGCTTTTCTGGCTGAATATCAGATTCTGCCTGGGATGATCATGGGGGCTTTTATTCTGGGCTTGAGACGTAAATAGCCACCTCATGATTATATTTCGGCTGTAATTTTGGTCGTTGGCCTTATTCTTTTTACCTTGGCCGATGCCCAAACTTCTCCGAATTTCAGCGGTATTTCGGTTCTTTCACTCATCGCATTAGTTGGTGCTGCCACGATAGCCATGGTAATAAATTAAGTATCAAAATGTCGTAAATAGTTACACCTTGTTTTATATATTTAATATTTATTTAATGGATATTAAAAAATAACAGGTGACTACAGCGCCTTACTGCTTTCGTATATATCTTTACGAAACCTTTTACCGAACAACATGGTACAGGGCTCTTGTTGATTGCTATGGGGATTATACTGAAGATGTTGCCTGATAACAAGCCGACCAAAAGGCCCGCAGCCTTAAATGTTTGGCCCACGATTGAAAGTTCATCTTCACAGAGCGAAGATAACAGGTTCGAATTTGGACAAGAAGAGGATGATGAAGAAAAGAAGCATTTGGTCTGAACACTATAATTTTAAGGGCTTTGTGGAGTGCTGCCTTTCTGGATTTGCTGTGATATTTGTGAGAGGTGGTTCCATGGGAAATGCATGAAGATAGCGCGTGCAAAAGCCGAACATATCAAACAATACAAATGCCCTACCTACAGTAGCAAGAGGGCTAGGGTTTAATCTGGCCATATTTATATTAGGAAGATCAATTGAGGGTGTAGAAATGGTTAGTCTTAACTTCATCGAAAGTTGAATGTGCTATACAATTAGTTTATAAATTTGAAGATCGGGTAATACCGATCCCTGAACTTGTGTAATTATTTTGTCTATATGTTGCTCATGAATTGTAGTACTTTTTAAGGAAGTTTGCAGACAGCGGTGCTCTCTTATTTAGAGATGTGATTATACTATGTCATTGTCTGTTCTTCTAGTTCTTTTTGTTGTGCTTTCAAGTTGAGTTATCTGTCCATTAATCCTTTTGAAAGGAAAAAGAATATAAAATTAGCTGTATCTGCCTTTTCTATGCTCTGCAACAGCCAACATGGTTTTCTTGAGAACTCACTAAGCTATTCTAAAACTTGCATTATCACTCTTTTTCTGTGCGTGAATGACAGAGTGGCGATAACCATCAAACTTAGACAATACAAAAGCCTCTTCCCGCTATCTTGCACATTTATTCTTTTGTTGATATTTTCATTTGATACTCTTGAATAATCATTACCATTATAAAGGTTGACAAGCAGAAATCATTTTAACTTCAGAAGAAATACAAATTCCCAATCCAAAAGAAATCAACTTCTTCATATATTTGCTTTGAACAGGTAGCGATGGTCATGGATATGTCCACCTTTAACTAAAATATGCACAACTCATTATGNATATCCATCCTACTATCCTTCAAAACTATTGCAAATATATGCTAGTGCTTTAACAGATTACATCACAACTTAAATAACACGCAAAGTTGCATTTCATTTATGTAAATAACTGCTTCTAACTGACTCTACTTTGGGGTTTACACCATAATGGCATTCATCTTCAAGAGCCCATGTCAGCATTTATGTACAAAATTGATCGTCCGCTTTGATCAATAAATCCTGTCAATATCCAAATGTGGACAAGAATGATCAGAGCAAGAACTTTTCAACTCCAAGTGCTTGCACATATGCAACTTTCAGCTGTAACCAAAAGATTCGAAACCGAAAAGTGAGAAAAAGGGTACCTTATGATAGTGTGTAATTGCAAACCCTCGAAAAAAAAGGAAGACATGTGTAATGCTATTTGATATCTCACTCAATGAGGATTACAACATATATATATACAAGCCAAAGGAGATGTAAGAAAGGAAAGCAATCTAAGGGATTTACCATATCACCTAATTGATATTATCTAATCTATACCATATTTACGATAACACTCCCCCTCAAGCTGGAGCATATATATCAATTATGCCCAGCTTGTTACAAATATTTTTCATTCTTACACCATTTACTGCTTTAGTAAATATGTCCCCTAATTGATCTTCAGACTTGACATATCTTGTAGTGATGAAACCTTCTTCAACCTTATCACGAACAAAGTGGCAATCTATCTCGATGTGTTTGGTCCGTTCATGAAATACAGGATTTGATGCAATGTAGTTTGCTGCTTAGTTGTCACACCAAAGTGTTGCTGGGAGAGAAAATTCTAGTTCAAGCTCCTTTAGTAACTGATGTATCCATACAACCTCGCATACTGAATCAACCATCGACCTATACTTTGCTTCGGCAACTGAACGAGAAACAACATTCTGCTTCTTGCTTCTCCATGAAACTAGATTTGCCTCCCACAAATATACAGTATCCAGAAGTCGATCTTCTATCATCTTTGCAACCTGCGTAATCGGCATCACAATATGCTTCTACTGCCCTAACCTTTTGATAACTCTGTCGCCCATAGAACAATCCTCGTCCAGGAGCCCCCTTCAAGTAGCACAAAATTTGTTCAAGAAGTGCCCAATGACTAACGGTCGGAGAAGACTGTAGACGGTTAAATTTGAGCCAATAAAATGGCGACAAGTGTCAAATTCCATGTTAAAATCAATTTAATAATTTTCTATTTTATTTGGGAAATTAATCAAATTTTAATTCCTAAATTAAATAGTTAATTAATTGATTATTTAATATATATTGTTGGCCAATTAAAGAATGCCACATGTCATTTTCTTGGAGAGTAAAATAAATAATTATTAAAGAGATAAATAAGTGGAAATTATGGACCAATCAAAATGAAGTCTTCTTTTCCAAGAGTCCATCTTCTAATTATCTCTTTAATAAATAAATATTGGAAATTATGGACCAATCAAAATGAAGTCTTCTTTTCCAAGACTCTCTCTCCTAACACCTATAAATAGGGACCCTCCCTAAGGTGAAAAAATCACAATTCATATTCATAATTCAAGTTCCAAGTTCAAGAGCTCTAGAGAATTCTCTCTACGAGATTCAAGTGTTCTTGAAGATCCAAAGGCGTTCTTGAAGATCCGAAGGAAGATTCAAGCGCGTTCAAGCCCAAAACCGACGTTCAATCCGGAAACAAGCTGCCAAGCCTCCGAATTGCGTTATTAAAGTCAAGACCGGCGTAGAGAAGATCAAAATCAACTTTGCGGCGAAGACCAAGGACTCGTGTTCTTCACGTTCTTGGGAAATCAAGACGTTCGATTCGAGATCAAGCTGTCAAGCCCTCGAAGAAACGTTATTTAAACTCATATTCAAGACCGGCGGAGATCAAACTGAAGATTCGTCTCCAAAAGTCTCAAATCCACTTGAAGATTGTTCTTGAAGAAATTAATCGGAGGAATAATAGAGATTTAGAATCCACTTTATTTCATTTGATCCGTTGAAATCCATTTGTACGAAGTTCTCGTGTTTATAAATTCAATAATACGAATTTTGCGTTACAAATTTCTGGCACGCCCAGTGGGACAATCTCTACCTCTCATCTCTTTTCTTCAAGATATCTAAGTGCAACAATGGCTCCTCCCAAGTCAACTTCTTCAAGTTTTGCAAGCGGAAGTATTGGTGTCACAACAAGAAGCATGGCAAAAAACAAGAGTGTATCTCTGGAAGAAAATTCTCGCCAAGTTGAGGAAATCATGTCACCTTTGAACCAAGAAGAAGATTTAAGAGACGATGTTTCATCAACACCTTTCTCAATGGAGGCACTTGTTATGATGACGAACGCATCAACCATTGAAGAGCAACTTGCAACCATGGCGAAAACAATGGAGGCACTAATGAAACATGTCCAAGATCAAGACTCCATGATCTACAAGTTGGTAGAAAAGGTCGACAAAGCTGAGACTAGCCGTGCTGGGGGCAAGCAAGATGAAACACATGAAGATGAAGAAACTTCTAAAGAAGATGAGGTGAAGCAAACTGAAAAAGAGAAGACTACGTCAGAAATCCATGTTTCTGCAAGTGGAGTCATACCAACTGACCAACTCAAAGATTTTATCATGGGAACCATCAAGGACAAATTCGATGTAGGCTCCAAGTCGTCTTTAACTTATTCGAAGCCATACACTCAAAGGATTGATAGCTTGAAGATGCCTACTGGATATCAACCGCCGAAATTTCAACAGTTCGATGGTAAAGGAAGCCCGAAGCAGCACATAGCTCACTTCATTGAGACTTGCAATGATGCTGGAACATATGGAGATCGTCTGGTGAAGCAGTTTGTGCGATCATTGAAGGGAAATGCATTCGAGTGGTACACCGACTTGGAGGCAAATTCTATTGATAGCTGGGAGCAACTAGAGCAAGAGTTTCTCAATCGCTTCTATAGCACGCGAAGGACGGTCAGCATGATTGAGCTCACTTCTACAAAGCAGTGGGATGAAGAGCCTGTTATTGACTACATCAACCGTTGGAGAAATCTGAGCCTCAATTGCAAGGATCGATTGTCTGAAGCTTCTGCTATTGAAATGTGTATTCAAGGGATGCATTGGGGTCTCCGATACATTCTGCAAGGAATTCAACCAAAGTCTTTTGAAGAGTTGGCCACTCGCGCACATGATATGGAGTTAAGCATGTCTGCAAGTGGAGTCAAGAATCCACCTGTCCATGAGCCTCAAAGATTCAAGGACCGAAATGAAGCCAAGAAAGGGGGCAAGTTCTCCTCTAAAGCGCCTAACAAAGAGGTGAAGGAAGCAATGGCGGTCAATGCAAGACCCATCAAACTCAAGGGAAACACAAGCGAAAAAGTTGTGGAAAAGAAAGAAGTCCCTCAAGACAAGGGGCAAAGAAAATTAACCTTGAAGGAGATGCAAGCCAAACAATATCCTTTTCTTGACTCCGATGTTTCTGGAATTTTCGACGACTTGATTCGGGAACAACTTATCGAACTGCCAGAGATGAAACGACCTGAAGAAGCGGGACAAGTTGACAACCCAAAATACTGCAAGTATCATCGTTTGGTGAGTCATCCCATCGAAGATTGTTTCGTCTTCAAAGATAGAGTTATGCAGTTGGCACGACAAGGCAAGATATCGCTTGAAGAAGACAAAGGCACTGCGAACTTTGCTTCAATAGTGAACTGCGATGAAGGATATGAAAGTTTCTCATGTTATGTGACAAGTGAGCAAGATGATGTCCCAAGTGATGATGAGTCAACTGATGACAAAGAACGATGTGATCATGAAGACAATGATGCGGCAGTCATTTTCACGGATGAAGACTTGATGTTGGGCTCAAAACCACATAATAGGCCTTTATTCGTAACTGGTTACACCCGTGAGAAAAAGGTGAATCGCATATTGATAGATGGAGGTTCTGCTGTGAACATTTTATCTCTGCGCACTCTAAAAGAGCTCGAGGTCCCGATAGATGAGCTCTCAAATAGCCGCTTGATGATTCAAGGCTTTAACCAAGGGGGGCAACGAGCTCTAGGTATAATTAGATTGAAGTTAGTGATCGGGGAGATGACTTCAAATGCTCTTTTCCATGTGATAGATGCCAAAACCTCTTATAATATGCTGTTGGGGCGTCCTTGGTTGCATGAGTATGAAGTGGTGCCTTCTACTTGGCATCAATGTTTCAAATACTGCCAGGATGGTGTAGTGAGAAAAGTGCTTGGAGACGATAAGCCTTTTACTGAAACTGAGTCTTATTTCGCCGATGCTAAGTACTATTTTGAAGACGTTAAGACTGTTGGCAAAGAAGTTCTCATTACACAACAAAATGATGCCAAAGAGAAGAAAGCCAAGAATCTCGCTAGGAAGGACCCTCTGGATGGATTAGTGTTGCCGTTACCTAACCTCGACACCAAGAAACCAACCACGCAACCCCCGAGAAAGTTTGTTCGTCCGGTTGAAGGATCCAAGACGGAACACGGAGAGAAGCTCCAAAATTCTAAGCATTATGACCCCAAAGCTTATAAACTTCTTGTCAAATCTGGATATGATCCAAAAGAAG